AATAGATACAAAAAAAAGATACAAACCGCAGCCACAACTGCGGCTGCTGGCTGCTGCACTGTTCTGCATTCTGCACAAAATGGCAATTGAAATTATTAACATTCATAACATTCATAACATTCGTGAATGACAGTCGTCGTCATCGCTGGGGCGGCCAATCGATGTGGTTTTTCGAGGGGGTCTGGCTGGGTGGATGGATGGATGGATGGGGATGGGGATGTGGATGTGTATAATAAATTAGGTTGATTGCTGTGGGTATTCGTTCGCTGGAAACTCCCTTCCGTTCCCCGTGTGCAAATTGCCCGTGCAATTGCTTTCCCTTCTGGCCCCCCCACAAAGGAAAATGGGGAAATTATGCATGTGTTTGTGCTGGCACTCGAATTTCTCAAAAAGCGAATCAACTCTTTCAGAATTTGATTAGCAGTTTTCGTCCTTTGGCCTCCCATCATCAATTATTCGGGTGGGGGGCAAGCCTTGAGGCATTTCGAGAAGAAGGCGAGCAGCAATTGCAATAATTAGCGAATGATTTAAAACCGTCAGTAATCATCATTACGTTGTTGTCGTCTCCTTTCCTCAGTCGATTCCTGGTCCTGGTCCTCCATTTTGGTCTATTCTCCGCTGCCCTCATTAACAAAGGCAAAGGGACCCAACACCAGCCAGGCTTAAACACTGAACCGGGCCCAAACCGAACCACTGGACGGACCAACAGCACCGCAGGCGTTTTCATTTCAGCTCGTGGAAATTGCAAGTGAAAATTTCGTTGGCGACGAGACCCTGCGCTAATGACGATAAATTGCGTCGCCATTCCACGGACAACTATAAATAAGTTGCGCCCGGCTCCGGCAGGGGTACGACTTGACTCCTGACCCCCTTTTGGGGGCTATCCAGGGGGTACCCCATCAACGTTAGGTAGGCTTAATAATTGCTGCGCATTCCGCACTGAATGTAATTTCGATTTATCAAATTTGAGATCGCCAGGAAAGGGTTTATCGAATGCAGGCAGATTAGGTCGGTCGAAGGCTATATAATCTATACAGCGGAAGGGATTACTGAAGTCTTGTATATGCTGATTGAGATGCCAAGCTTTTTTGGCAGCTATTTACATCGATATTGAATAAAACGATTAAGGTTGAACGTTATAACGGCGGCTAAGCTGAAGCCGATTGCTCGATTGCGCGACAGAAGTAATGTTTATACACGAGTCCGACATGCAAGCATTGCGATAAGAGATGGAACGAGAGCAGAGAACGTCGACTCGACGGAGCGACGACGGCAGATTTAAGCAAAAGCCGAAGCGACGAGAGCAGATATGTATAAGCAGAACACGAAGCGGCGGCAGCAGATCAAATCAGGAGCTGAAGCGGCGACTGCAGGTCTAAGCAGAAACCGAAGCGACGGCAGAGGTTCAATGCAGAAGCCGAAGTGGCGACTGCAGCTCAAATCCGAAGTCGAAGTGGCGGCTGCAGATCGAGACAATAAACGAGAGAGCGCAGCAGCGCTGCCGAACGTCAGCATTTGCAGTATAGGAGCATAGGTGGTTTGTTATTGCTTTAAATCTATCTTTAAACATACATACATATACGCATATGAATATCGATATGACTGCCTATTTACAGCTGTTTGTCCTTGTCTTTGTCTCCAATTGATACGATTATCCCACGGTGCAAATAAATCGCTAGAAAAGAGCACAAGAGCGGGGGAGCGGCAGAGTGGCGGAGTGGCTGAGAAGCGGCGACTCTTATTTAGTTATACTCAATCAGGGGACACAAACAACACTCGAGCTGTTGGCCAGTTTCAGTTTCAGTTCCACAGTTGGCCCTGGCAATGGCACAGTAAATAAACGAAGGGAAGTCTTCGCACTCTGAATGGGAGCTAGACGTAGGACTGGTACCCTGCCCCATTCGTCCATGCTGGCAGTCGTAGTCCTAGTCAGTCACCCACTTGGTCAGTCACTTGTGCTGCACATTCAAGTGTCACTGATTTGAGGATAAGCACTTCACAGGCAACTTGATAGCCCTCTCGTTCCTCACTCTCTCTCTCCCGCTCGCCCGCTCTCTGTGGAGCCCACTCCGGGGACGGATTGAATTGGATTCGCCTGGGATTCAGGTTGGGGTCGGGGCTTGGGGTCGTTCGGTTGGTTGGCTGGTTGGTCAGTCAGCCGTAGTTGGGAAAATATCACAGCCGTACGACGCTTTCGTTCGAGTGCCACTCGTGCAAAACGAACTAATTTGAATATATAAAATCAACGGGCAACAAACGGCAGCCAAGGGGGGATTCGAAGCCCTCCCCCCACACACAGACACAGCGACTGACAGAAAGAGAGCAGCCCCAACCGAGTGACTGAATGACCGAATGACTGAATGACTGGCAGAGTGAAATTGATGAAAACAAAAGCCGTCATTATGCTGTAGCCAACTTTTTGTAGAGCTTTAATTGATACTCCCTTAACCGTACGGAAAACAGTTGACAGTCCTGGCGGAAAAAGGGGTTTCCATTTGATTGAATGGAAGGAATAAATAAGTCCCATCTGTAGAGGGGAAAAGCGTCTGAAAGGAGTCTGAATCGAGCCAATTATGAATTTGATTCACTTTTGTGGATGATCTTTTGAGGTGCTGCCGAAAGGTAAAACCATTTATCTCAAGTTTTAGTTTTTGCCATAAATTCAGGGATTAAACATAGAATTAACTCTCTAATTAATATACCTTTTCTTTGATACGTTTTCCAATATGTAATTTCAATTAAAATATCCCCCGATCTCTAGCTAAGCCACAGAGAATTTTTATAGCAGAATTCTGCTGGCCACAAAATGGCCATTCAAGGGCTGGCTAACTGGATGGCCGACTGGGTAACTGGCTGGGCAATAAATTAGCGCAAGTAATTTGTGCAATTAACTAAAAACAGTAAAAACCGCTATTAGTTCTCGATTCTATGCGCGAATGCAGCAATCCATTGGCCATAAATTAAGCAAATGGCTAACGACTGGCTAAGTTGCGTGGGGCCACTGTGGCATGTGGGGCGTGGGCGTGGCAGAGTCAGCTAATTTATGTTTTAACACACTCGCACATGCAAATTAGCTCGCACACATATGGAATGAACTCAACAAAGGGACAATGCCACTTGGTGGAGTGTTGCAACGCGGAGATACTTGGTAATCAGGTGGGGGGAGGAGGACCTCCTTTGAGGATCCACACAGGCTCCTAGCGATCAAAAACCCCTTCCTTCTGGCTGTTACAATCCTGTTCATGGGCACATCATGCCCTACGACATGCTGTGCCACTAAAGGGTACAATAAATTCATATATTTTACATCTGCGTAGCCCCCATAATGAGCTCAAGTTTGGTCTGAAGTCTGGGGCTGTGGCTGGGGGCCTAGGGTTCTTTGCGGTTCGGCGACTGGCAACAACTGTTGACAAAATGAAATCAATAAATATTGAGCGCAAATCAATTAAAATCCACAGCGAGAGAGTCCAATCCAAAACTTCTGGGAGTCGGGAGTCTGGGAGTCTTGTGTATTTGCCCCCGAAATGAAAATATTTGACAATTTGCGGTTTTCACAAAATTAAATTTCACCCACAAAAACGCACACACACACACACGCACACTCGCACACACACGGAAGTGAAGAGCGAAAAGCGAGAGGATTTTCAGGATAAATATGTACGAACGAGTAGTATTCTAATTTATTTATACGGCTTATTAAACTTTGTTGTAAGTTGTAGTATTTAATTAAAAATTTTTGTCAAATTTGATTTGTGGCATGCCCCCCGTTGCAGCACCAGGGCAAAAGTGACAGTTCAACCAACAATTTATAAATCAAATTAAATGAATATTCCGTGAATATTCTGTGGGTGTATGGAAATTCCACTGGAAGGCAGGGCAGATCCCAAGTACCAGGAGTATAAACTGATTATTTGCTTACGAAATTCTAGTGTTTTTGTCTGTTCAAATAGAACACGAAATTGGATTAATGATGCAAGCAGGCTAGCCAATAAAGCTTATAGAAGGGCAAAGTAAATTAACCTCTAAATGATTTTAAAATGGGGTCTGTAATTAGTTTTGGAAATTGGTTTAGTATTTACACAAAATTTTACCATTCAAAGAAATCCATGTGGGTGTCGGTGGGAAGCCGCAGAGCGCAACAGAGGCTGTAGAGATAACAGAGCAGGTAACAGAGCGAGTAACAGAGCAATTTACAGAGCAAGTAGCAGAAAGAGAGAGAGACTACCAGCGGCCGTCGAACAAAGAGAGCAGAGAGCGCAGCCTAAACGATCGACGCCAAGTACATAATTCGGTGCCAAAGTCTCAATCAAGCCACGCGCATATTATGCCGCAATTTTAATTAAATTAAATTATTTTAATCATAACAAATGAAAGGCCAAGTATAATAAAACCTGGCGTCCTGGATTAAAGTTTAACTACGGACACTACGGTCCCCCTAAGCCGGGGACCACACACATTTGCGGAAGCTTTGGACAAAAGGCTTGCTATTAGAGCTGGAGAAGCATCGCCCTAGTGTAAAAAGGGGATTTACAAATAATAAATTTAATATTTTAGTGTGCTATCGCGATTACCTAAGCTATAGGATGATTATTTATATGAAAAATAATCTTGTTGAATTTGTATTGTATTCATTTCATACCCTTAATGGGTTAATTTTAAGCGACAATCGATGTTTCATCGATATATTGCTATCAAAAAATCGACAGCATCGATGTCCTCAAACATCTGATTCTCCAGCTCTCAAAGGCTTGCTATTCTCATTTCCACGTCTCTTTATTGACAAATTCTTCCGCTCGCAGCTGAGAGAGTAATACAGGCGCTCCCTCAGAGAGCGGCAGGTGTCTTTAATTAGAGATGACACTATCGGCAGGTGCCTGCGTACTCCACAGTGATTGTTTGGCGAGTTGGAATGCTTTTTCTCCGCCTACTCAGGATACTTGAAAGAGAGAAATATATGCACAGTATATCAAATATTCCATAGTGTAAAGTAGGCCACGGTAATAAGCTCCAATTGAAAGGCGAACAAAACCTTTCAATCAGTTCAAAGTTAAGTCTGAATCGGAAATCGTAGAGTCAAAAAATAATATTTTTTTTGTGAATATAGTTTGCCGAACGATGTCCTGTGATAACGATAGCGAATCTATAAAGGAAGTAAAGCGTGAGGAAGGCGGCGAGGTCTCCGGGGGAAGCCGCTCTTTGACAGTCGGCGAGGTCCGTTCGCCTGGAGTGGACCGCCTATGGTCCGCAGTCCATGAGTCCATCGGGCCAGCCGATGCTGGTCCCGGGGGCAGTGGCCCCTTGCCTCATTGCGGGCGTCCAGACGGAAGTCGTAACTGGACAGCCCTTGGGGCCCCGGGTGGCCGTCACACACTCAATCCCTATGCGGCGGAGTTTGTGCCACGCGTCACGGATCACATATTTGCGGAGAAATTTAAAAACTGTAGGTTTCAAGTCCAATCCAATCTGAACCGATTCCCATCATGCTTTCTATTGATCAGCAGGGGTGTGCTTCTCGCCCTGGAACTCTCCGCCGAGCATATCGTGTGGCCAGCGCTACGACAGCATTTGGCGTGAGAACAGCATGGAAGAGCAGCTGCCTCGTCGGGAACAGGATGAAACCATAACAGAGCCGCAGCTGCCACAAAAGCCTGAGACGACACTGCCTGCGGTTCCGGAGGAACCCGAGGAAGCCGAGGAGGCCGAGGAGGAAGAGGACGTGCCCCAGCCAGTTAAGGTCAAAAAGAAACGCTTTAAGATCCCTGCTGGGCTCCAACGACGCTGCAGCCTTATGTAGGCGCCCTTCAGGCCTTGGAGACTAGAACAGAGCCAAAGCAGCCAGACCAGTTAAATATCGAGGAGAGACGGCGTGTGGAGAACAGGAACAGCAGGAGGATCCAGAGTCCGTGACAGAAGAAGAACCAGAACCCGCCAAGGCGCAATTGCAGAATTTACGCAATGGAAGTACTGAGTACTCCAGAGACACTCCAGAGACATATGTAATCTTATACTTATACTTATACAACAATCTGTTCGTCCACTTCCAACCATAAGATCCGATTAAACCTCCATCAAGGCTGCGCCATTGAAGAAGTGAAATCAATCAGGGCCTTCAACAGCTGCATTTAAAAGAAAGCTCCGATGGAGACTCCCTTCAGCAGCTGCATTTAAGAGACGACTCTACCTATGACATAATTTATGGTCTCCATTTTAGCGCCTTAAACGGGCTTGTGTTACTTTCCCTGGAGGTGACGTGGCGTCGGAGAGGCGCCTGTCCGCCGTCCGCCGTCCGCCGTCCCTGTCTTGCCTTGCTGCTGCCTTCAGCTACTTTGTCGTGACTTTCTAATGATGTTGAATATGCATGGAAAACTTTTGCCTTACGCAAAATGTTCCTGCAGGGAAAGAAAACTTGATTCACCTGTCTATGGGTTGCATGGACAACTTGCAACACGCACCAGCCGCGCAGCAGGCATCCCCCTCCCCCTCCCACAGCCCACACTCCACACCCCAAAGGCAAAGTGGCGACAACTTTCCTTTTTTCGCCTTGATTATTTTACTTTTTAATACGCGGTATTTGCCAGATTAAGAGGGTATGCCGTGGTCGGGTGTCGGGTTGGTAACAGGCGGGACCTTCAGCCTTCTGTGGCACCTCAGAGTGTGCCCTGGGGTATCCTCTAGTCGCATGATCGATCCTGGCATTACTGGGGAAGCTCATAAGGGGGGGTGGCGAGGGAGGGCTAGTGTGTGGCATAATGAGAAAAGTTTCATGCCTTTTCATGTCTCATTTAGAGAGGGCTGACAGCAATGTGGGCCAAAAGGGTTGACTTTCGCAAGACAATGGCCGTGGACGCGTCCGGGCCTGGCCCGTCCTGTCCCGTCCCGTCCCTCTCTGAATATTCCGATCTGCCCGGAATGTCCTGATCTGTCTGGCAATCCGTTCCAATCCCTCATGCGGCGCTAAGATGCCGCGGCCGCCCGTGACTTTTGAATTTTGAATGATTAAAATGGCCAAAAGGCGGAGCCGAGCAGCTGCAGCAATTGTTGGCGGAAACAATTACCAAGTTGTATGCAAAAGCGCCAATGGAGGACGAAACTTTCACGCCGCTCAATGTCAGGCCAGAGCAGGACATGTGGCAGGCGCCACCTGTGCCGCAACACACACACACGCACACACACACACCCAGGCAATCCTTGGCCGACGAAAAGGATTGGCAATTTTGTGCCAATTTTCTCCGCCTTCTGTTTGTTTATGAAACAAGTCACGTAAACGTTGTTGTGTGTCCTCGTGCCTCGTGCCCCATGCCATGCCATGCCTGGCCCCCCCTCAGGCCCCCCCTAGTATCTCTCTGCCAGGGGGCGTTGAACCGGGGGCATCTGGCTAAATGGGCGTGCCATCACCTTGTTGTGTTGGCTCCCCCCTTCCCGCTCCCCTCCCTGGCGATTGTCATTGCATCGAGAATTTAGCAATTGGCAAACGTCACGAAAGCAGCACCAAAAAAATAAAAGCAAAACAAAAACTTTCACGATCTTTCGCACCCTTCCTTTCGGCCGCCTCCTGCCGGATTGTTGATTTGCAAAAGTTTTCCCTCTCGCTTTTCCCCTTTCCTTCCCCTTTTCCGCGAATGTGTTTTGTTTTTGTTTTCTGTTGCCTGTTTGTTTTGTGCCCTGTTTATTGTATAAAATTTATGCCCCTATATTGTGCAATTGAAAAAGTTTGTCATATTTCACTGATTTTCCGCTTGTTCCGTCAGCGTTACAGTGCGTTCCATAGTTGTAGGGAGAGACAAAGGAAGATTTCCGTCGATGGAGGCCCCTCACAATAGGGGATTCCTTTCCATTGGATACTCCAGATTCTTCTCCTTGGCTTTCAACCAATCCCAACTCCAGATACTTGTGAAACGCACTGTACGGCTAGCGGTTAGCTCTTCATCGGCGTAGAACAGGCCGCAACGAGAATGTTGAAATAAGGGGAAACCAGAGCCGCTGGCAGAAACCATTATTTATGCATCGATTTCAAATCACTAAAAACAGAAAAGAACAACAAAAATCCATAAACAAAAACTCGTAAAGGAAAAAAGGAGGAGGAGGAGAGTTTCGAATAAACACAATAACAAAACGGAAGGCGGCAAATAAATAGACAACAGAGTCGAATGTGGGCAAACAATGCCTGCAATAAATATCCGTACATGTATGCATATGAGTGTTGGGATATGCAGGATATATATTGTAGAAATGAATTTCATGATATTTATGTCACGATTTGGCAATCAGTTCAATGACCAACCGAAGGGGGTGAAGGTACACTATTTTTATTTGCATTCAGGGCGCAGTCCAGTACAAAACCCACAGCCAGAATTTGGATCTAATTTTTCAGAATATCAGAGCTGTCTTCAGTAGTACTTCACTTTCCAACTACGCCTGCGGGATCTGTTTAAAGGAGCTTCATAGAAAAAGATTGATTCCTTTATGACTTCTTCTGGTACCAATTCCTGTGGATCCTCCTCTTGTGTTGGATAGGAGACCTTGAATTCCTTGCTAACTAAAGCAAGCTGAGGGGAACAGAGCGCATTTCTGATTTCCAACAACTCATCGATCACTGTTTTGTTGGTTTTCTTGCGGAAACGACGCTTCTTGGACGCCTTGTTCTGACACTTTTTCGGCGACTTGATGATATCGTATTGGATCTTATATTCCATTAGCTTTGGTTCGCCGTCCGGCAGGAACAGGCGCTTCAACTCGTCGCTAAAGTCCTCGTACTCATCCAAGTTGTCTGCAGAGACAGAGACAGACCCAGACCCGGGCACGTCCACGAACTCCGAATGAAAATAAGTCTTTACGACATTATAGCGCTCAATGGACAGTTTCAACCAGAAATTGCCCCTTTTGACGGCTGCAACAATACCCTTATCCCATTCCTGTTGTGCAAAAAATATGGAACGTTAGACGGTTATTTTGAAAGGAATTCCGCTTACCTCGATATCCTTTTCCATATAGACCATCAATTCGTAGTTCATTTGGTTCCCTTTCTCTACAGCTTTCAATGAAAACATATTTACTGAGATCAATTTTGATACGTGAAGCTGTGAAAAGGAATGTTTGAAACAATATGAGTATTCCTGAGAGTAAATTATATATTATTTCGATCAATGATAACGGAGACAACAGAGTTTAGATAAACAAATGAGGAAATGTTTTATATCAAATGAAACAGTTCCACATTGGCAACTAATGCTTGGAGTCATTGTAACATCAAAAACCCATTCTCAATGAATGCCAGAATTCCGGCTTCTTCTGCACATGAGAGCAGCACTTTGAACAGCGGGTACATCTTTTGGGACGTTCATTAGTGTGCGTACGTCTGCGCCTGTCATCATTATGCGCTTCGCATGCGTCTTCTCGAACTTCCTTCTTTATACCTTGCTTCCACCAACAACACCGCTCATCAACGATCGCAATCGTTCCCTTTCCTTTCGTCTCCTTACTTTTTCGCCAACATTCGCACATTTACCGTCGTTCCCTTTCTATGCCTTCTTACCATTCGTTCGCTTTCTGTATCTTCTGTCCCCCTCTCTCTTCGCATTCCCCGTTCAGGACGGGCCGTTAGAGAACGCAAGCGAATGCTAGGGCGAAGCGGACGAGACAGCGAGAGTTGGCAGCACTTTTAGTTAAATTGAGCAACAAACACATTTGGCAATAAAAATGATTCCACTTCCAGTTGCAGCCGTCACCCCCGCGCTTCGTATGTTTTCGAACTACTTTGCCCTAGTCGCCGTGTCTCTCTCACACTCACACAACCCATCGAAGCGAATACTCTCTCTCATTCAGTGGCAAAGGGTAGCCAAGGAGAAGTGGCAAAGCGCAAAGCATTGGCGGTATATTTAATACAAGGTGAGGTGCTCGCGTCTAGCGAGGTGCATATTACTGTCACAAACGCACATGGATGGGAGAGAAAAAACTTGCACGCTATTTATACAACAAATATGTATGTTAAAACTCTGCTGGAAACTGGAAATGCGTCACGTTATATTGATACACCTTGCAATCGACCTCATTCCCTCACACCCTCTATCTCACTCGCTCTCCCATACACAGAACAGTCCCTTCCAAAAAATAAAAATGCCCGCCGCAATGCGCTTGGAAGGAGTTTTGCACATTCCAACAGATTTATTTCACTCGAAATAGTTTCATTTTTGTTGCGTTATTGTAAGGGTTATTTGTTTTTGTTGCTTTTGCTGTTTGCCAGGAGTGACTGTAGAAAGTTTTTCTATTATTTTCAAATTTAACTTTGCCATTTGTTTGTTCATGTGTGTGTGGCTCTGCAGGGGGAAAGGAGAACCCTTTCCGGGCGGCATATAAAATGGCTCTAAAAGCTCAGAAGGGTCTAAGGCATAGGAGTTTTTAATATTTAACAAGTTTTTTCTTTTTGCTGTGAGTCTTTCGGTACGTTTTCCAATATGAAATATCACAGCAGCTTTCCAATGTGCACGCCAATACACTTACATTAAGGCTGGTGAGGAAGAGTGAGCGTGTGTTGAGAATTTCGTTGGATTTTACGAGTTGACACACAAAAGACTCAAAATGTGCACAAGATCACCACATTAAAAAAAAACACCGATTAAGTTGTTGCACTTAGATTCTATTGCATCTAAAACAAACAAAAAGAAACAGAAAAAAAAAACAAAAATTCAACTACAAACATAGACATGTTTTAGGTTGGAATATGCAGCAGGTGCCGTCCAACCCAGCATTTTGAGAAAATAAACATTACATTTACAAAATTTCACCTCGATTCTTGACGATCCACGATTATTAATTTATTTAAACACACAAAAACAAGGGTGTAAAATCACACGAATTAGCTCCGCCGAACTGCACACATATATATACACATACATATAGATAAAATACGCCGGCCACACGTTTTTTCAGTGTGACCGCACAACATAATCGATAGATATCAGAAATATTGCCGCCAAGAAAAAATTGAGATTTAATTTAATTAAAAGAAAAATTGGGCTGTTAAAGTATGAATGTAAGTTAATTAAGGGTTTTAATGGTCAAATTAATGTTAATGGTAGAAATATTAAAATTATTTAGCGCTTGTCCTCTTATCGATGTACATATATCGATATATCGAACAAACTCCGGCAGGCAATTCACTTCAAATAAGAAGAAATTTAATGAAAGGTGCTGTCAGGAAATATATATTATTTAATAAACGTTGTTTCTCAAAGTACAAAAACTTCTTATAAAGCTTTTGCGAGGCAGATTCATATCGATATACGGCAGTCGATTGCGCCCATACGGCATCCCCGATCTGCGTTGGCAAACAAAAAAATCAGTTGTCAGCGTTGATCCCGATTTGGCCGCGCAAGTTAATAATTGATGAAAGCAAGATGAGTTTAAAGCCTACTTCGTATGTATGTGAATCAGCGGTAAATGGGGATGTCTCTTGATATTTTCCAAATTACTTTCCTCTTATTGATCTTCAGACGCAGTTGGTAGAAGGCTGCACGCTCTCCGTGCGTATGGAAAAGCCAGATGTGTGGAAAATGGCGGAAATTTTGAGCACCAAAAAAGTGGGGAACAAGCGTCTATACTATGTGCACTTCTTGAATTGTGAGTAGGCTGGGAAGTCCGTCTTTAGTGATTAACATTGATTGCCTTTCAGTTAACAAGCGTCTGGATGACTGGTTCGACGAGAAGGATCTGGACTTGTCGTCTGTGCAGTTTCCTCGCAACCGACAGCGCTACGCAATGGAACGTTCTACAGGATCGCGGAAGAATCTCCCAAACGCCCCTTCCAAGCAATCCCAACTGAAGAAGAAGCCTGTACATGAAATCAAGAATGTGCAGTGGATTGAGCTGGGAAAGCATCGCATGAAGCCCTGGTACTTTTCGCCATATCCTGAGGTAATGTGCGCCGAGCCGTGCATCTACTTGTGCGAGTGGTGCCTAAAGTACGTGATGAATGCCACATGCCTGGCTCGCCATTTGATTAAATGCAATCTTCGCCATCCGCCTGGCGAGGAAATCTACCGCAAGGACACAATATCGTTCTTCGAGATTGACGGACGCCGGAGCATGACATACGCGCAGAATCTCTGCCTCCTGAGCAAGCTGTTCCTAGACGAAAAGACTCTGTATCACAACACAGATCCCTTCCTGTTCTACATAATGACAGTGTTCGACTCGCGCGGCTTCCATATGGTGGGATACTTCTCTAAGGAGAAGGTGAGCGAAGACAACAACTTGGCCTGTGTGTTGACTCTACCTCCGTACCAGCGCATGGGCTATGGCCGCCTGCTCATCGAGTTCAGCTACGAGTTGTCAAAGTGTGAGGGGAAGACCGGCACGCCAGAGAAACCGCTCTCGGACCTGGGGCTTCTCTCTTATCGTTCCTTCTGGGCCCAGGCCATACTCGATGTACTCATCAAGCAGAAGCTCGACGTGGCGGAGGACAAGATTACCATTTCCATCAAGTATACGCCTAAAGAGCACTGACTATTCATCTACTAACTGTTTGCTTTTTACTCTCAATAGTGAAATCTCTGAGAAGACTTCCATCAGCACAGATGATGTGGTATCCACGCTGACTCATCTGAAACTTATCAAGTACTATAAGAGCCGATACATTGTCTGCGTCAAAGGCGATGTCGTTGAGAATTATTTGAAAGACAAGGCCAAACCTCAACTGTGCATTGATGCCACCTGCCTGCGCTGGGTGCCCAAGGATTGGACTGGTTCAAAGAAACGCTAGGAATGAAATAATCCCTAGAATAGTCTATATTTTTAGATCGCATCAGCAAGCAGGAGTTCAATCTTCTACTACTTCTACCTCTTGAACAGACATTCCCGAATTAAACAGGATTCATTTAAGAATAGATATTACGTTTACTTTATTTATAGCTTTTAAGTTGTATGAGCAGATAAAAGGAATAGCGCTTACAGAAGGCCACTTCGACGAAGAAGGCGCCAGTGACGCCGACAATGGTTTCACGGTCGTTGACGAATGGGTCGCAGTAATACTAATGCCTCCTCGCCACTACAATCCTGGGCTGAATCTGCGCCTCTTCGTTCTGGGCCTTTGATTTCCTGTGAGCCATGTGTGCATCACGGAATAAGATGGAGGTTCTTCAGAGTGTGACTGGTTCAGAACCAGTGGTTCTCTAGCGACTTGTTTAAGTGTGCTTTTTCCAACACTGCGTCATTGGCAAAAGAATTCGTATTTTTGACAAAAAAAAAATCTTACAACTAACATAAATTGAATCATTAAAAATGGAGCCAATAAACAATGTACAATACACAAGCGAGCCGACAAGCGACGAATTTGAGGCGGAGGGCCAATTCATAATGCGAGTTCCCGAGGTAAGCGATATGGTCTTCTGCGTCTTGCCTCATGGGTGATTTACTATGTTAATTATATGCATTGCAGGATCGTGCCGAGACCATTCACGAGGCCATCAGGGATGGAAATGTACACAAGAAATTGAGCATTGCACTGAAGGAGGACCTGCGTCAGGGTCAGGTTTGGCTGGATGGCTCTATGCTCTACACGAAGCTCGTCGACCTGCCCTCAATCGTGGAAAGCTACAAGACGACGGACAAGAAGAACTTCTACAAGACTGCAGATATTTCCCAGATGCTCATATGCACCGAGAAGCCAGAGGAAATCGAATGCAAGTCATCAGAATCGGAAGAAGAGGCCGCCAATAAGCAGCCCCAAACTTACATGTATCCACATGGCATCACTCGTCCACTCAAGAACGTGAGCAGGCGTCGTTTCCGCAAGAAAATGCTAAATAATCCGGAAATGCCAGCCACCGATATCGCCAAGGAGCTGAAGTGGCTTCTCATCACGGACAGCCAGGCAATGGATGTCAAATACGAGATCATCAACGAGTCGGACAGCTCAGACCACTCTTCCGTCTGATATCAACTACAACTACAACGATTATTGTACAAATAAAATAAGATTTGTATCTTCTCCCAAAGGAGTGGTCCACCTAGAGATATTTCACTCTTTATACTATAAGGCATTAGGCAGTGGAGTACGTTTTATAGCAGAAAAGTTCTAGATTTTACTTTACTCGTTTACTTTATTCATAGTTTTTAAGGGTTATGTTTATAGCAGATACAACATGGAATATGGCCTACAGACGGCGTCCACGACGACCGCCCTTCCTGCGGGTGCCATCCGAGGGGATGGGAGTCAAGTCCTCGATGCGTCCAATCTTCATTCCCGAACGAGCCAGAGCACGCAGAGCAGACTGGCCACCGGGTCCGGGGGTCTTGTTTTTGTTGCCGCCAGTAGCCCGCAGATTGACTTTGAGGGCGGTGATGCCGAGGATCTTGCACTTCTCGGCGACATCCTGAGCAGCCAGCATAGCAGCGTATGGCGAAGCCTCGTCGCGATCGGCCTTAACCTTCATGCCGCCAGTGACGCGGGCCATGGTTTCGCGGCCGGACAAGTCGGTCACGTGGACGAATGTGTCGTTAAAGCTGGAAAAGATGTGGACCACGCCAAAGACTTCCTCGCCATCGCGAACCTGCGGTCCCAAGTGAACCTGCGGCTCTTCCTTCTGGGCCTTGGATTTTCTGGGAGGCATTTTGCAATCAATAAATGCTCGAGTCGTGGAATACGCAGAAAGATTTGTTCGCCGAGTTTTTTAAGCGTGATGTCAAAGCTCAGTGATGAGCAGCGACTTCTGATATATATCGCAAAAATATAATTATCTATCGATATATATCTATTCGAGCTAGAGAAACATCGATGTGAGCATCGGTGTTTCACCAGCTCCAGCTCCCATCCCTACTTACTCTTGAAGGAAGCGCGGAGAAGAAAGAAAACAACAATGTCCAATTCAGGTCCGAAAGAAAAAATTTGTATTCGTAAATTAATACAAAAGACTATGAACATTACGAAGGCCGGCATTGCGTATCGCAGAGGCATTTTCAAGGTAAGTACAAACCATGTTAGGCTGCATTTCTTACAGATGATTCATGCCAAATATATTTGCTTATTAGAATCCGGTTTGCGTTTGCTGGTCTAGAAACGAACTAAGGAAAATTCGGGAGAAGATAATTAATGAAAATAAACCGGGGAATGTCCGGATCGTCTCCGAAATAATTAAAATTTCAAGGGAAAACAAGAAGGAAGATGATCTACTAGAGATTGAGCATAAATTGAGAACCGTGGACCTTGCTGACCGCAATGAGGTGCAAGACGAACAGCCAGACGATGTCGTCAAGAAGGGGGACGGCATGAACATGGATATGGTCGATTAATGGCTTTCGCAACTTCAGCTGCATTACCACAGCATTCACGTTACCTAATAAATTAATGTGTCTCAGTTTTGACATCAGCAAAGCAAATAAATGTGCAGCTCGAGTATAATTTTTTCTGCCTTAACCTCACTATTTATTTTCAAGACCGCGCTGTGTGCACGAGTGTATGCCCCACTCACATGCACACACACCAGCGCCATGCATGAATCTACTCTATAGTCGTCTCTTTCTTTCTTCTACTTCTGCTCAAAAAGGTGAAGCGCCATTTTCGTTGGTGGATTTGAACTCTATTTATGCATGATCCCTCATGATCAATCAAATGTGTGTGCTCTCCATTCCTAGAGATTCGTTTAATAGTTATGTATGTCTGTTCATTCCCCACATCTAGATTCTTGTTCCTCTCCATCACGCCTTTTTGTTGCCATTTAGCTTTCTGCCTCTTCTATACCAAACACTCTACTACTGCCCTCTGTACGTACCTTTCTCCTCCTCTATGCACCACTCACATATACACACACCAGCACCATGCTTGAATTTACTCTATAGTCGTCTCTTTCTTCTGCTTCGGAGCTATTGCTGCTCAAAAAGGTAAAGCACCATATTCGTTCACCACTTACTCTTGAAGTAAGCGCGGAGAAGAAAACAAAAATGTCCAATTCAGGTTCGAAAGGAAAAATTGGTATTCGTAATCTAATACAGAAGACCATGAAAATAAACAAAACCATTAAGAAGGACGGCTTTGTGCGTTGCAAAGGCATTTTCTGCCATGTAAGTAAAAACCATATTAAGCTGCATTTCTTACAGATGATTCATGCCAAATATATTTGCTTATTAGAATCCGGTTTGCGGTTGCTGGACTAGAGTCGAACTAAGGAAACTTAAGGAGAAGATAATTAATGAACATAATCTGAGGAATATCCGGATCGTCTCCGAAATAATTAAAATTTCAAGGGAAAACAAGAAGGAAGATGATCTACTAGAGATCGAGCATAAATTGAGAACCGTGGACCTTGCTGACCGCAATGAGGTGCAAGACGAACAGCCAGACGATGTCGTCAAGAAGGGGGACGGCATGAACATGGATATGGTCGAATAATGGCTTTCGCAACTTCAGCTGCATTACCACAGCATTAACGATACCTAATAAATGAATGTGTCTCAGTTTTGACATCAGCAAAGCAAATAAATGTGCAGCTCGAGTATAATTTTTTCTGCCTTAACCTCACTATTTATTTTCAAGAACTCGCTGTGTGCACGAGTGTATGCCCCACTCACATGCACACACACCAGCGCCATGCATGAATCTACTCTATAGACGTCTCTTTCTTCTGCTTCGACGCTACTTCTGCTCAAAAAGGTGAAGCGCCACATTCGTTGGTGGCTCCTAATATTGTAGATTTGAACTCTATTTATGCATGATTCCCCCATGATCAATCAAATGTGTGTTTGTCCAATTCTGGAGATTCGTTTAATAGTTATGTCTGTTCATTCCCCACATTTAGATTCCTGTTCCTGTCCATCGAGCTTTTCGGTTTCCATTTAGCTTTCTGCTTCGTCTCTGGCTTTTTTCCGTCTCTCCTATGCCATGTTGCAACGCACTCTACTGCTGCCCTCTGTGCTGTACCTTTCTGCTCCTCTAAACAAACACACCTAGACAAGGTGGCCAAATTACTGCCGGTTTGCCGCTGTAGTTGTAGTTGTCGTTGCCGTTGCCGGGTGTCAGTGTTGCCACCTTGTCGGCGAAAAGTAAGAAAAAATGTGAGCGAAGGAAAGAGAAAGAACAGTTGCAAATGTTGCATTTGCATGCATGGACAGTGCAGTCCGGTGTCATCCTGACCCCCGTTCATCCATTGCTTCCACCCCACCCACCATTCCCCTTCTCAGCAACATCCGGTGCACAGTAGGACTTTTTTCCGAAAAAGTGGTATTTTTATTTATTATAATTTAGGAAATCTATAAGCTGCAAAGCAAAAGCTTATAATTATTGGATTGGGTATTCCCCGAAGGCTCCGATCAATGTATTTAAGTGGAGACCACTGTGCGTCGGGCAGTTCCAAGCACACTACACACACACACACACACACACACACTGATACAGGTGAACGGTGTCGCTGCTATTTAGACAAGTGACATATGCGCCATGCACACAGAGCGAGAGAGAGAAGGAGGGAGACAGAGTGGGATAGAAGAAGACACGCACACACACATGGCAGCTTCATGCAACATGCAAAATGGTGTGTCAAAAAGGAAAGCCGCGTCGGTTTCTGTTTGTCCCAACCCTACACCCACCCACCCATCCGTTCTCCACTCTTCTCCTCTCCTCCTCCTCTTCCGAGCACCTCTCGCGCCGACTGTTCGGCTGCAGCAAGCAGATAGCAGAGGATGTTGCCGCCGCCGCAGTCACCGTCTACGCCAGTGCACAGTGGTTCACGTCTAGTGTGGCGGATCTGTGGAGGTGCATGGATATAGAATTTTATTTTATAAGGAAAACATACTTCATTTTTAACCCACTCAAATCCTCTGGTAATAACAATATCTTGGGACTTTAAAAAGTGCTTTTGGAACACTGTTTCTCACCTCCGCTGATCCTGATGCTGCCGCTGCCGCTTCAGTCCAACACCTGCGGCACCGGCTCCTGCTCCAGCTCCTGCTCCGTGGCACGGGCTTAAAAAGGAAGCTTTGCCAGAGCGCAAATTGCAGGAAGCAACGGGCAGCGAACAAACAGAAACAGAAACACACGCACACCTGCACAGATGGACAAACAAACAAACAAACAAAAAACCAAACAGAACTAAACAACAAACTTGTGTGTGAATCTTTAGTCTCGTTCCGTATATTTTTTACTGCTGCCCTGCTGTTCTGGCCCTTGTTTTTGACACAGTTCAGGGGAGCAGTCAACGTTGGTTCCTCCGCTCCACTGCTCCCGCTCCTGCTCCTCCTCCGCCTGCTGTTGCCTTCCGCTTTTAGTTGCAATTAAACAAGCTACTGCCGAAGCAGACGAGGCAGAAAGTCCAACAGCGACCGTGCCAGAGACACATCGCTCATCAGTGCAATGTCCAATTTGCATGCATTCCATTCCATGTATCTCCATCTCTCATAGTGTCTCCCTTTTTCGCCTTTACTCTGTTTTTCAGCTGTAACTCACAATCAGTAGAACGGGAAACATATTTGAGACATTTTTGAATAAAGTCATGCACGAATCGCAGGAGTTTCCTAACAAAGAAAACATCCGTATAAAAAATGTCCCTTTAGAAATGAGAACAAAGAAATAAATCTGCTTTACCTTAACTATAAGACCGCTTATTTCCGTTGCTTAACTGCCACTAAATGTATCAAATAAAAATCCATATATGTATGTACAAAAAATAGCCCCAATCAATTAATACCCATTCATTTCGCTTGGTGGGGGGGGGGGGGGGGGGGGGGGGGGGGGGGGGGTCGGGGCTGGGATTGTTTTTCATTAGTTATTCATAAATTTGATAACTGCTCGGCACGAGTGAAAAACATTCCGTGTTTAAATTCAATCAAAGTTGACGTCTGTCGATTAGCACCAGGCACTGTGTGGGAGGAAAACCCATCCGAAAATGGAACCAAAAGATCTACGGGCGGAGAAAAAACGGGAAAACATTGAACCGTAAATATTTACCTATAAAAATTGTTTAAGCATTTTATGTTGGCGCAGCAGTTGCCATGACGGAATATATACGATATATATACAGACGATATATACGATATATGTATATGAGATATATGGGGAAAGGTTAAGGCGCAGACTGTACATGTATATATGCATTTTTTTGGTGCTACAAAATTAAATTAAAAATTTTTTATGCCTCTCTTCGGTTCGGTTAGCTTTTGGGTTTCCTGGGCTCCACGGGCTTCCCGGGGAGCTGCGTGGCTTGACAGGCGCCAGGCAAATAAATTTCTGTTTCGCTGGGCTGTGTATCGCATGACATATGCATCAAAGTGTGTGGCATGTGGCAGGGGCCGGCATGGGGGCGTGTGCGTATCACAGCTGCCTGTCGCAGCTGTCAATAAGTGGGCCGAGTCGACGTTAAAAATCAGGCATTAAAATATGCTGTTCATCCTTCCTATGCCCGCACCCCGCCTACCCCTCCGCTATGCTCGTTGTTAATGCGTTGCATAAGCCGTAGCTGAGAGTGTTGCCCCTTGCCCCTTGCATGGGGCAAGTAGATACAAAGTGCGATACAAAGAGCAAACTCTGCACCGTTTTGGCCATCGATATCGTACATCAGCCACGCCCCACACAAAGGCATGCCCTGCCCCAAAGTTTTGGCTTAATTTTAATTTGTTGCAAAGTTCAAAGGATGGGATGGGAGGACCCCCTTCCGAATGTGTACTTGCATAAATGCGTATGTGTCTAGGGCAGAGGGTCGATCGGGAAGTTTGAGTGGATGAATGGATCATCCAATCGTTGGGACCATTACCAGACCATTCTTTGGGCGATGGCCTGGATTAAGGAGCAAATAGATCTCCCTCCACGGACTGATTCCCCTTGAAAATCTGCATTTCCTTGGCCAACCCTCGGCGGGTGAGGGCAGTTCCACTTGGATGTGTGGCCCTTGCCAGGGAAAACTTTTTAAATAGTTACACAAACTGCAAAACGCTTTTCATTTTGCGTTCTGGCCAGAGAAAACGGAGTTTCCAGCATTCTGGCCAAGCATTTGCCATTTCCATTGCACTTCGATTTCGGTTTGGCTGCACAGAAAAGTACACAGAACTTTTATGAAAGAAAATGAAATGAAAATCCTGATCCGAGTCCCCATTCCCCGCATTCCCCCCCTTCGCCAACCCCAATCCCTCAAAGCTTTTCCAAACTAAACAAATCTTTAGTTTTTGGCTTTAACTTTGTGGAAACAATTAAATGGAATTTAAAGTGAAAAAAACCCCAAAGAGAGGAAAGATTTCCGGGTCAGAATCCTTTAAGCAAACACTTCAGATCCAAGGAGCGGAAACTTTCCGAATTCCTGAAGCAATTAGCAGCTGCAGAGGATATGCTCGTACATTTCCACTGTGAAATCGAATCGGACAGCGGCACACTCATTAGGAATTAGGACCTCCCGCCATCCAGGCCGAACCCGAAGCCGAAACCAAAACCGAATGTATTAATAAAATAATAATTAAATGTGTCAAAGTTTCCAAAGAGTAATTAATTATAATTATATAGACAAAACTTGACCAAATCACATCCACAAAGGCACCCACACATCCTCTGGAAATTCGAGACGGTTGCAGCCACAGTGAGGGCTCCTTCTGCAGGACCCTGCGCATGCATGAGACCCATCGAATGCTCGTCCAGGCTTCACTGTCCAGGCAAAACTTTCCTTATTGGCCCGCTCGCATTAAATGTTTAATGGGCTTGGGTGACAAAGCACCTGCTCGTGTAACAACAACAAAATATGGCCGCCTTTGATGATGGCCAAAGGAAAAGTTGTACTCGAGTTGGTGTTGACCCAAACATGCCCTAGTTTTGTCCGGGTTTCGAGGTAGTATCATAATTAATATGGTCAGCGGAGAGTAGGGAATGGGAGTCCATGCATTCAAGACTTTGGTGGGTAACCCCTGCCTTGGTACTCGGCTATAATCTACCTATATATAACCTCTTCCCGTCGATGCTTAAATTACACTTGATTCAATCCTATTCATGCCACTCTCTCCCACATATCCTACAGGGTATTCCATCCCAATCAGCCACATACTTAGGGGCATGGACCTGAACCCGGAGCTGGCTGGAAAGTTTTGCTCAGTTTTGTTCTTTCGGGCTTGGGGGCTGGGTTTTGGGGTCACACCCAATCCATCAGTTAATAAAAATGTGACAAAATGAATCGTTAGCCAGAGAAACCGGGGGGCCAGAGTGTGAGTGGACAGGTGGATCCCGGAGGGAGAGCACATTGGAAAATAATAAATCATAGGGAACCCGTACAGAAGAACCGAACCGAAGCGAACCGAAACTTAAAGTCAGCCATAAAGTGCACCTGTGTGGCAGGATGCGTGTGTGGCTGCGAACAGCAGCTGGCAACAATTTGCTACGTGCCACCGATGCGATGCGCTTCCCTGTCAGCTATTGTCCCGGCCAAAAATGTGTAACAAAACTGAGGCGGGAGTCGAGAGAGAGTGTGGGGAGTGGCGAGTGCCTGCTCGTGTGTGTGGCAAATGAGTTTAATCACCTTCGAGATAGATGGAGAGGACGACATACAGTGAAACGTCGGTGAATGATAGTTCCTAGAGGCTCCTATTGCTCCCGATTTCTTTCCTCATGGAAGGACCGCACTGTACTTGCCTCCTTTCGCATCCTCCGAGGCGGTTGACACAGTTTCTGAAGGCGTTGCAATTGAAGTGTTGCTTAAACAAAAGCTAAAACTTAAATTGCTGTGAAATTGTCTGTGCCAAGATGCAGTCACTCCTCATCCTCCCGCCTTGTCCTCCTGAAAAATGGCAAACGTTTGCCATTTTTTTGTTGTTTTTTGCTGGTTAGTTGTTGGCGTGGCGGCGTGGCTGCTACTCAAGATGCAAGTTGCACAAACTCCAAAGGAGCAGAGGCAAGAGAGGGAGCAGAGGGGGCTCAGTGGCGGCAACATTTATGGCGTCGGCAAACGTTGCTTAACTGCTCCAAGAGCCACTTGACGCAATGCTTTGACCAAGTAGCGGGTGACAAGCCAAGCGCTTTGTGGCTGTCAAGTGGCTCCAGCTTCCCCTTCCCTTTTTTTTTGGTGCTAGTCGTACTCGCTTCGACTCCACACATAAGTGCACTTGACACAGAGACTGCAACAAAGTTGCCTCTTGGATCGCCTCGGCAGTGGCAACAAATTGCAGTTTGGTCTGGCGAGAGGCAGCGACTTTAACTGGTGACCTTGTGGGTTACTGTGGGTGGGCACTGTAGTACCTAAGGAATAGGAAGATGTGGAATTTTTAGAGATTTCAGAGGACACTATTACTCTTCCTATTGGGTATCTTTACTATCCTATACTTCTCTACTAATTCTAATTATGTGCCAAATCATATACCAAAGGAACACTTCAATGCCCTTCCAACCACAGTGCAGCGTGACAGTCCACAGCCAGAGACGACATCGAGGACGGGCACTGGACACTTTGTCAAAATGTTGCCCCATCCCTTTTGCTGTTTGCCAAATTAAATCTAAACCATTGGCCACAAAAGCGCAACATCTTACCAAACTGAACAGCAGGGCCGGCGAAGTAGGGGACGGCAGAGGCGGCGCGTGTGTACAGTTGTGCTTGCAGACAACTATCGATTGGTGGTGGCCAAGGCACAGATGTAGCACACTTTGTGGCTGGATGGAAGTCAAAGAATGGTCGGCGGGAGGGGCGGGGAAGGGAGGGGCAACGAAAGAAAAAATAAACTTTTGCTAATACAATAATAAAAAGTTACTACGTGCAGTGTTGCAAAGAGTAAGAAAGGCAGACAGAGGACGGGACGACAGTGGATGGGTTGGGTGTGGGGTGGGGGGTGGGTTGAGAGCTAAAGCAAAATAATATAAAAAATTTAAGTGAAAACTTTTGCTCCAATCTCCAGCTCCAGCTCCTGCTCCTACTCCTGCCCCTCTCCCCGCCGCACACTCGTCAAGAAGTTGCAACAAAAGTTTTGCCCGACGTTAACCTTTAAGGTAAGCACTGACGAGAGGCGTGTCGGCTTAGTGTTGCACGTTGGCCGCGACACTGATTAGATTTATCAGCGGCAACAGAATCAAGTTGCACATGACAGTGGCAAAGGAAGAGAATGAGAATGGGAGAGTTAGCTGCAACTTATGCAAAAACCCACTACAGCAAATCAAAATTCAATCAGACAGCGACTGAAGCCGCAACTGCCGCCGCCAGTGGCAGCGTGGCATCGTGGCATCGTGGCAGCAACAGTTGTCAATTGGCTGTGGCACAAGTGCTGCGGCGTATGCGTAATATGCAACAGTTTGCGGCGCTGATTGGTAGTGCAACATGACAGGACACAGCACGACATTTCAGTAATGAGTGGAAAACAAGTGGATGTCAGCGGATTAAGTTCGTTATTGGATTACGGAAGACACAGGAGAGCCGTTTCCTTTGCGGAACGGAAAGAATGACAGGCCCCAAATCGAATTGGGGCACTTCCCATAGACCATTTCCATTTTCCCCTAAGCCCTTCGAGTCCTCCGAGGACAATGTCCCTGCCTTCGTCTGCTGACTGCTTGTTTTACAATATCTCACAAATATCACGCTTTCCAATCATAAATGAGCCATAAATAACACACTGCCACCCATGCGATACGCACACTCGAATACGAGTAGAACAAACAGGGGAAATGTGTGTGATTTGAGTGGACTTAAGGATACCCTATCCAAACGAGTCATAAAATAAAAGAAGTCCTAAAGAAAACCACAATTCATTGTAGAAAATTCTCATAATTCATCACGAGTTCATTTCTGACCTCGATCCTACTCTTCACCCACCTTCTCCCGCATTAATCATACCCATCAGACCCTATACCTCGTCCAGTGACAGCAACGGGCATGCATATAACGATACTTATGGCCAGGCCTCGTATAGTACCCACATTTATAGATGAGAAAGCTGGGGAACGTGCTAGGTTGCTGTATATCTATGACGCATCCCTCTCTTCGTCCTGCGAATACTCCTTCCTTCCTTTGCAATGTCCTTTGCTGTACAATGCCCTGTTCCTGGCAGACCTGCTTGTTGATCAAATTTAATCATATTACATATATTTCGCTCTTTACGGTCTGTTACCCCAATATGGCCCCAAGGTCTGGGGTACATGGATGATACGCCACAGTACGATGCTCTGATGCCGTGATGCTGCGATGCTGGAAGTATTTACTCTTGTTTACAGTTGCGCACCGCCGGCTGAAATGGGCAAAAATATCCAATTTGAAAATTAATGCCTTTAGGATATTATTCATAAAATTCGTGCATGCTTCAGGGGTAAGTCAGAGCGAAAGAAACAGAGAGCGGTATACCAGGGAACTAGCATGAAAGAGAGAACAAAAATTGGTCGGAAAAAAGCAGAGCAGCAGCTGATGCATGCCTTTGCTCTCTCGCTCTCACTCACTCTGCTCCTTCCACTCTTCATGTTTATGCATGTAGATTTGTATACCCTGTATATCATAGAATAGAATGGTACATAAGAGCTACATATATCTAGCAGAAACATAAACATTAAGTAATTAAATTTGGGGAAAATGGTTTGAAGATATGGTTAGAGCACTTTTATAAAGTATATATGTATCTTTTCCACTCTACTTCCCTCATTGCAAGGGATTTGGCTAGATAGTTTCCGCGCAGTTCGAATAGGGTGTTTTATAGTCCTTCTTCCTTGTTTGGTTGCCCTTTGCCCTCTGCCCTATCTCACAGCTGTAATTGCCCTGCGGCATTTGGCGCGTTGAAGTTTTGCCAGAAACCGCAAAAGTTTATTGTGCGTTATAAATTAAATGCAACAAACCATTTGGACTGGCAATGAGAGAAAGCGGGAGGAAAGATCTAGAGAGAGAGAGAGTGAAAAAATATGGAGCGAATGCCATAATTCAATTTAAGGCATTTTCGGTAAATGCTCAAAAAAAGAGCGATAAACGGATAGCAGGATTCGGAAGGAAGAGAGATTGCTCGGAAGCAAGTCTTTGGACTTTTCCACAATGACTGTCGCTTGTCAAAAAGAGTTTCAGAGAGAGAGAGAGAGTTTCAGTGAACGTGTACGAGTCGGCTGATAGCAATATGGTTCAACGAAATCAATGAAAAGGGCACAGAAGAAGCCTGCTATGTTAGGTCAATGGTCTGAAACCTTACTGACTAAATGTTGGAATGCCTTCTATACGTTTCGGTAATCTATACAATATACTTATGCTGTAATGCAGTTCTTACATTTTGTTGTACCTAGAAACGGAACACTTTTTACAAGTACATCCCACGCTGCAGACTCCATAATCTGCGTCTGGAGGGGCTTCACATTGTAGCCACTGGAAGCGGATCGGTTGTGTCGCTGGAACAAGGCACTGAGAATCGGACCTCATGGACGTCTACCACAGATGGTTGCTGTCATACTAGCCGACGCTGACGCTCTAATGCCGGGCAATGGGGTTACAAATCAGCTTTTTGGCTGCGTTGCTCCTGCCCGGTCAGCAGTCGATGAGCCAAGTTCCCAATTGAGATTGAGCCCAATTGAGAAGACCACATCTCTTTGCAACAGACGAGACAGGATTGGTTGTTGCAGCTCCTAGGTGTAGAAGCAGCTTCTCTTAGGCCTTCTCTCACTGATCACTGAAAACTTTGTTCCGATGTTTTAGCAACCGCCGAACGGCCACTGAAGAGTGCCGTCTTCGACTTAATTTGCGGACAATGCAGTTTCTGTAAGGGTAAGATAGCTCAGGTAAATATCTCAGCAAACTTTTCAGCGATCACCACACTCCCTGTTCTGTTCTTGAACGCAGTTTAGATTTCTTTTACAGCAGAATGTATCTGTAGTAAACACGAGAAACGTATCACATCGTCTACCACATAGTCCGCGTTTTGTGGAGCCACAATGATATGCCGATATGAATGCCTTTGTCGATATCATCGCCTTGTTGGGGCTCGCATCGGCAGTGGCCACGAATATCGTGAGGGTTCCACCATGGACAAGTTTCCTATCAAGTCGAATGCATCCCATAGGCTTGACCAATTGAAGAAGAACATTTGAAGAACATCACGAACGTGAAAGAATGGAAACTTCTCTATGAAATAGTAGTGGAATAAATAAAAGTTATAATTGCAAAAATATAAAAATAGACTTACAAACGCACGCCTTGACCAGGTGAAAAAATAAAACTGAGAGCGGTGCAAATGCGTTATTTCTATGCTCTCCTGCTTCTCGACATAATTGCTTTCTGTCCCACTCTCTCTTCAGCTCCTTTTGCGAAAAGAAGAAACGAGATAACGGAACATTTTATATTTTTACACATGAAAAAAAAAACTTATGCAAAGACAATATGCTTATCTACATATAAAAAAATTGCACATATGTACATACATATACATATACATATATCCCACATTGCAGCATTTTTCCTTCAACGAACTGAACTTTTGTTGCCATTTTGCCTCCTTCAGCGCCCCGCCAATGATCAAACGCATTTTCTTGCAATAAGACACGTATTTTTCACATTTCTATTTAATCTGTACATCAAACTTCACTTCAGGCACCAGCCCGACATTTTACCCGGTGGATTTTTCACCATTTTCCGCATTTTTGTGAATTTAAAAGCGGAGCTGTCTTACGAACGCACGCTTTGACCGGCGGAAAAATTTGAGTGAGTGCAGTGCGAATGCAAATGTGCTCATTCTACGCTCTCCTGCTACTCTTTCTACTTCTGTTTATGCTTATGTCTTCTTCTTGTCTTTATCCTCTGCTTTTGCAAGCAGAGATCAATTCATTAAATTAAGTAACGTCACAAATAGAGATCAATTAATTAAATTAAATTGCGTAATTTGGCTAGGCGCCGCAACTACACCGCGCGCTGTAACTCTCTCACCAGTCTATTCATCTCACTCCCACTCAGATCACACAACCTCACTCTTTTCATTACCCTTTGCAATAGCAGTGAGAGAAGACAAGAAGTAGAGAAAAGGAAAAGCAAAAGCAAAAGCAAGAACAAATTATTCAAGGTGGTCTGCTCACTCTCTTTCCTGTCTTATAGTACGCTCAGCACGACTGAGAGCGCTATGACGCATTGTTTGATGAGAGAGAGAGCGGAATGAAAAGAGACCGTCCTACAGCTGCTGACCACCTTGTATGATTTCATCATGGATAAGCAGTAGCAAAAGTAGCCAAAGAGTGAGTGGGAGAGAGAGAGCAATTAGGAATAGTTACAGGAGCGCAAAGAATAAACAAGTTTGCATTCGCACCGCTCTTACTCAAATTTTTCACCGGCAAAGCATGCGTTCGCGTTTCAATCCGTGAAAATCCAAGAAAATTATGAAAAATTCAACGGGTAAAGTGTCGCGTGGGTGTGTGAAGTGAAGCATAGTGTAAAGTGCAGTGGTGAAATGAAAATGTACAAAAAACTGTTTGTTTAGTGGAAGAAAATGTGTTTGTTCAAGGGCGGGGGCGCAAAAAGAGGCAAAATGGCAACAAAAATGCAGCTCAACGAAGGAAAAGTGAAGAAAAGTGCGGCAATGTGTGATAAATGTAAATGAGGCTGATACAAATGTAGATAAGCATATTGCTTTTGCATAAATTATTTTTTTCGTTTGTAAATTTGTTATTGTTGCGTTGTCTCCCTTTTTCGATTGATCTGTTCCAGCAATGTGTGTGTGTGTGCCTGCTTGAAAACGCGTCAAGTTTTGTCCCTTTCCCACTCCCTGATGTAATAGAGCAGTGAAGAAGAGAATCAAAAAGGAATGAGTGCTCTCATTCCAAGCGAAGTTCATGGGAGGGTGAGGCATTGCCAAAACTGCAGATCTGAGTGACTCTCTCTTGTTTATAGCCTTACCTTAAATTATGTGTGCTCTTATTAGAAATCATTTTGTGCGGCAGACAATTGAATAATTTGCGGCTTAGTCTGTGTGGGGATTAGATCTTTGCAGTTTCTACTAACATATCCTTATCTTCTTCTTCTGGTACAAATGCCTAAAACAATGAACTGAAATAAAATCAATAAAAATTAAGAATTCCGTCCGCTGGGAACAAATACAGACAAATCCTAAGCAAATAAAGCAGTGGGCTGTCAAGGTTGTATTCAGAATGAATGAACATGTGGGAGGGAGTGTGGTGGTGGAGTCAACAGTTCGCATGGCGGGAGAGTAGTGCCGTAGTCAGGCGATATCAATAAGCGCAGAGGGGCATAAAATGTTGTCGGAAATGATTGCGGAAATTACACTAAAACGCAACCCGGGCGTCGCGTCCCGTCCCGTCCCGTCCGACGCATGTGACGCAACAATACGAAGTCATACGAGTATATAAGGGGGAAGGGGAAGGGAAGGAGAAGCAGAGCCTGAGAGTGAAAGGTAGGCCGGAAAATTCCTCAACCAAAAGCCCAAGTAATGCAAATATTTTGTTTACCGCCTGTCTGCGTGGGAATTTCCCTCACTCTCGTCTTTATTTGTTACGGAATATTCTTGGAACAAAGAGTATTTTTAAAAAATGTTAGTGTATGCAGATTTTTATGATGATATCCGACTCCTTAAGGTATATAGACTTGCCCCCAAATATTTATATATATTCCTAACCTGATCAGAGCCGCCAAAATCCAATCACTATTATATACCTTCTTCCTTGGAACCGATATATTTGTAAGGGTATTTAAAGCTTTGGCTACCAGAGCCATTTTTTTGTGTCCTGTTAAATTTAGCTTTGGATAAGCAGGAGTACAATACATAAGCAAAAAGGAGGGCTTTAAAATAAACCAAAATAAATATAAACCTTTTTTCTGAGGAAGTGTGGAAGTGGCAGACACGAATCTGACAGGGAAATATGAAGAAAGTTTAATTGAATGATACTTAATCGTATATGGAGCTCTTTCGGCGCATTGAGACAAAGATGAGGAGGGACTGCGCTAGTAGTGCGAGTGGCACACACAGCAAGCAGCATTCCTCATTTCATGCCACCCCCACCCACTGGCCTTTGGGGAATGTCGCTTAGTCCGGGCGATCGGTTTAATTCGTTCTCGACTCTAGGCTCCGTGTCGGGGCGCTAATGTATTTTAGTCGCGTGTGCCACTCGGCTGCCCCCCAGGGAGGCAGGAACACGTCAACGCAAGAGGTGCACAGACGGAGGCGGCACGGGCCGTGGGATTAACAGGCGCTGTGCTAATTATACCCCCAAAGAGGGTTCCGTAGTGGCACCGAAAGGAGGCTGTTCCGATACTGTGGGGTGCCCGCGGATATTTAATCCGTTTAAACGTTTGTTTTCTTTCCAACCTGAAGCCTGAAAGTATATTTAAACCTTTGGGCTTTGCTGTACCCGACATTTGCACCATTTTTCGGACTGCGTATTTGTTTGCCCTTTCGCACATCGAAAACATCTGCTGACCAACACACAAAAACCCAATTAATTGAATTTATCGCCACAGACAATAATTTTTGTAAAATTCATTGAATTTGCAATTTATAATTTTATGTAAAAACTCCATGTGCACTTTTTAATTGCCAAATATTTGCTGTGTGTGTACATAATTTGTTCTGCATTAACAGGAACAAAGCAGAGCCTCCCAGGTGGACGGGGGACGGTTCGGGAGGGGGGGGTGCAAATAAAGTGGAAAATATTTGGAAAATGCAAATTAATTATGCTACACATGTATTTGTTTAAGTTATCTAATTAGCGTCGAACGCAATTCATTACCAATTGTTTGTCGCCACTGGCATTTGAATATTTATGGTTACACTCATTTAATTTAATATACTACAAATTGCAGTCCCGAATCCGCTGTATTGTTCCACGGGATTAAATCGATTAGCAAGCCCCCTGCAACATTTGCATTAATGGAATGCATAGCACCTTCAAATCGTCCACGATTTAGTGGTTTTTAATTTTAAAACAGGACGAGAACTTCTCTAAACTCATCTAATTATAATTACCATTTGTTTAAGTTTAAATTCAAAAATTGACTTTTACCAAATTACATAAAATCCAGAGACCCAGCCAGACCCATAAATTTAATTAGTTTGAGCCACGCTCAGTGCGGTCTGAAGGTCAGTGGGAACACCAGCAGGAGCAGAAGCAGGCCGTCCAAGCAGCTGCCAGAGTCAGGGCCAGAACCAGGGCCAGAACCAGAGCCACATGCAGACACTCGCAATGCGAGCCCGCCCCAACACAGGGCCAAAAACTTTGCCAAATTAGTTCAAAGTTCACGAAATTTTTCCTGGCCAAAGGGGGAGCGGAATGGGCCAGGAAAAAAACCAGCAGCAGCAGCAGCAAACACCAAGTCAATTATTAAAAATAATTACTTTAGCCCGAGTTGCCACAGCGAAAATTTTGGTATTTGTATACAGTTTTTTTTTGTTGGGCGTGTTCTTTATTTTCGGGATATTGTTTGAGTTACGAGGGGTACGCCGTACTGAGCTCTCGATGTGGGGGGGGGGGGGGGGGGGGGGGGGGGGGAGGAGACGACCCACAAAGACCTATCGGCGGGGATCAATAACTGGGAACTGGGCGGATATTTGGCTGGCTG